AGAATGCATATTGTATTTGATTCCTAAGGCTGTTTAAACAAAATACCACAGGCTGGGTGACTTAAAGCAACAGAAATTTATTTTTTCACAGGTGTGGAAGTTCAAAATCCAAAAGCAAGATATCGGCAGGACCATGCATTTTTCCTAGCTTCTGCTGTTTGCTGGAAATCCTTGGCATTCCTTGGTTTGCAGCTGTTTAAGTCCAATCTGTCTCCATCCTCTCGTGTTGTTCATCTCTCTGTGCATTTGTCTCTTCTCTTTTTATAAGGACACAGTCATACTAGGTTAAGGACCCACCCTACTTCAGTATGATCTCTTCTTACATCTGCAAAGACCCTGTTTCAAAATAAGGTCACATTCACAGGTACACACTTCAACCCACCATATCTATGATAATCAGCAGATGTCACACAAAACCAGAATCCTCATGCCAGGCATACAAATCCAATCACTATGGTGATGATTCATTTCTAAAAGCAGGTAGAACCTAAGGGTCCAGATGGGAAGAGAAGCTTGGTGGGCACAGAGGAAGATCTGCCACCGTCCTTGACAGGTAAGGACTTTGATGTGGCATTAGAATAGTTCATAAATCTGGCTCAACCAGACTTTATTCATTCAGTCAATAGCTCTGTGGGCTTCCTATGTGCCAAGAATTGGGTGGGGAAGTAAGGCAGGCAGGATCCATTCAAACATGGCTTCTGGTTTTGGGGGTTACTGATAACCAGAGGAACACTCTAATGAGGGCACAATTACAAACTAAGATTTGTGCTCTAAGAAAAACCTGATGTCACCAAGGAGCCCCTCCTATGGCTGTATTTTCTCCTTTCTTTCCTTCCTTCTTCACTTCTCCTCCCTCTCTCTGTTCCTTCCTTTCTTCCTCCCTCCCTTTTATCATTATACTTCTCTTGCGAGACCTGGAGGTGTTGCAACATCTTAGTGGAATAGAGGGAACTAGAGCACCCCTAGCAGTGTGGGCACAGTAACAGCCCCAAAGTACAGGACTAATGGGGTAGAGGCTGGGAGATGGAGGGATGGGGAGGTTCCCGTTGAGGGATAAGGGTGGGAGAAGGTCTTACCCAGGGTTTCCCCGTACTGTGCAGTGAACATGCCCTGGCAGACTCATGGCCAATGGACAACAGCTCCTAAAGCTTCTACCAATTTGAAACTGTGGATCTCCTCCCCTCCAAAGGCTTTATTGTTTCAACCTTACATAGCGTGTCCCCTGGGATGACAAGAAAGCAGGCCAGGCCCTGGCCAGGGTAGGGTTAATGCCACAAGAAGCCCCGCTCTGATCTGGCAATAGTGGCTGTGAAATCCTACCTAGCCTGGGTAGCTCTCAAATCTATCTCCATCTCCTTCCCTAGTACCACGGTCCCATGGATGAAGGATAGTTGGAAGGCAGGCAGGCACAAGGGCCCCCTGCCCTAAGAGAGAACTCCTTGAAAGGATTACACCACCCTGGAAGGAGCCCTCCACCCTTTCCCATGTTTGGATGACAGACGCAGGGAGGGTTAATCAGATGAAAACAGCCTGCTAACAAGCCCATAAAACCCCCAGACTTAGAAACCCCGTTGGCAACCCTCTTGGGTCCCCTTCCTCCTTGGCAGCTTTGTGCTTTCTTTTTTTTCTTTTTATTTTATATTCATCTTTTTTTTTTTTTTTTAGATTTTATTTATTTATTTGACAGACAGAGATCACAAGTAGGCAGAGAGGCAGGCAGAGAGAGAGGCAGGGAAGCAGGCTCCCCGCTGAGCAGAATGCCAGACCAACCGAGGACACAGGGCTCCATCCCAGGACCCTGGGATCATGACCTGAACCGAACGAAGACAGAGGCCCAACCCACTGAGCCACCCAGGCGCCCTAATGTGCTGTCTTTCAATAAACCTGCTCTACTGCCCACTTTCTGCCTGATCTACCTCTTCATTCTTGGAAGTGGCATGGCCAAGAACCACAGGCCCCAAAGGAGAAGAAATCCTGTAACACCATCTCTTACCTCCTTGTGTCCTTGGGGATCCAGTCAGGCTCCTTCCAATCCACCGCCCACCTACACAAGTGTCAGAGGGATACTTCTCAAATGCCAATCAATCTGGGGCACTCCATGGCTCCCACTTACTTCGGGGAGGCTCTCAGTGACCTGGCTCCTACTTGGTACTCCAACCCCAGCTGCCTCTTGCCAGGTATCCTTCAGACACTGTGGCTGCCGCAACACCAGACACAGTATCCCTTCTCTATGCTCTGCTTGGGACTGCCTGTCCAGTCCTGTTCTGCTGGCTACCTCCTTCTGATACTCGGGGAACCACCTCCATCAGCATCCTTGCTTCCCAGCCCCACCGTGTGCCTAGACTAGGATCTGGCACAACAACAATGAAGTCCCTTAAGGACCTGCTGAAGATCCACTGCCCATCTAACCTGCGTTCCAGTCTTGGATTATATATACACGTATATGCTCCCAAATTGATGGCGTGACCTGACAATTTCGTGGGTGTGAGTCTTCACTGCCACCCCTAGCCTGCAAGTGCCCCCAGGCAGGGCCCAGAAAGCTCCTGGATAGAGGTCACTATTGGAAAGATGGGGTCTCACAGAGCAGCCTCCCCTCCCTCCTGCTCTGCCCTGCAGTCAGGGAGCCATCCCTTGAGGTGCTTCTGTAGCCAACTACCCCACCCCCCACCCTCACTGCCTTATTCCAGCACTTCTCAGGTTCCCACCTCAGTCCTGGGAGTGGAGGTGTGTAGGGATATGGGTCCTTCCTTTGGAGCCTGCTCCTGGATCAGCAGGGCCGGAGGATCTGTAAGGCAGGGATAGGGTGCCCATAGGTGCTGGCACCATGAGCACCTATCAAAAGCCTGGGAACGGAACCCGCCAGGGTGGAGTGGGGGGTGCAGATAGGAAAGTGTTTCATAACCTGCTTTCTGGCATGGGAGGCAGGAGCTCAGCCCACCATCAGGGCAGGTTAATGCTCTGAAGGTAGGGAAGCAAGGCCCTCTCCTCCCCATACCGCAGGATGAATTTCTAGGCAGGAAAGGGACTTAATCTGATCCCCACCGTCAAGAGAAGAAAGCCTCTGCAGCCTTCCCTCCCTGACAAGCCTCTGCTTGCATGGTCCTGTGACCGGGCACTCAGGATTTCAGATTCTGGTTTTGGAAAGGTGGCCCTTTTCTAGCACCAAGACCAGTCTTCTATAAGCATCTATCATGCAGGACCTCTTCCAAGAGTTTTATCATTTTCTTCAGATGCACATGCCCAGGACCAGCCCAGGGCACCTTAGCTGTCAGGATAGTGTATTTTTTCCAACCTTCTTGGACCACCCATGAGAGTCGAACAAGCGCACATAAACCCCCTGGCCCTTCGCAGGGATTCAAGAACAAGAAATTAGGGAAAGCAAACCATGCTGGAGTCTGGATGACAGGGCTCACTAATCCAAAGCTCGAGGGGAGAACTCCCTAAAGAGCCCCTCCTGTCAGCAGCCGAAACTCACCTCTTGTCGCTGGATTTATTTCAGAGTTCTGCCAGCAAAGTGACTTACATCCTCCCCCATCTCCTTTCCAGAGGTGCCATTGAGTTGCATGTGGTAGGGTGTGTTTCTGACATCCTGGGGTTAGATGCCACCCCCCACCCTTACCAACTAGAGTCCTTCCAGCACACAACACTCCTCCCCCACCCGCAGCCCCAGCTGACTTCGACTTGGACGGAGAGGCTTTTGAGGCTGTTATCTCTTAACAGACAGCTGTGCAGGGCTGGAGGCAGCAGCTTATCAGGGAGCCTGCAGTGATTCACAGCCCAAGTTCCAGCTTCTCTGCTGAATAGTAATTTCCAGCAGTGGATTTGTGCTCGGTCTCTCTCCTCCCCCTCTCCCAAGGGTGTGCTGTCCTTTCTGAGAGAGAGAGCAGTGAAGGGGAGATCCTACGGATGGTGATGAGAGGTTTTGTGCCAGCTTTCTGGATACGGCTGTCAATTGGCAGGAGGCTGCAGGTTTAGGGAGCCAGTGGGGTGTGCCTCCCTTGGCAGTGACCCCCCCCCCCAGGAGAGTTCACTGGTGCTTGCCTTCCTTTCTTCCTTCCCAGAAAGGCAATGTGCTCCTCCTTTTCCCTCAGTGGTAATGCACCAGGGGACAAAGGCTCCCCTTCTGGCCCCAAGCCCCTGAGACTAGCGCCAGACAGGGAAGGCTGGGAGAGGGAGAAGCCAGGGAGCAGGCAGTGTGCCTCTCGTTCCAGTTTGAAGCTGTCCAGTCTCTGTGTCTGACTGTGAAGATTCCAAAACCCAAAGTCTCCAGGCTGGAGGGGACTGAGACATAGCGGGGCAGGCCAAAGCAGTTTCCATATAGGTTAAGTGCTAAAGAAGAAACCTAGGGCCAGAACCATTTTTGTGTTTGTTTTATTAGAAGCACGACTTCAGCTCTGAGACTCAGGGGAGAAGGCAAAGAGTTTTGTCCTGGGTCTCTCCTTCTGGGCCAGTGGGAAAGGGGGTTTTTAAAAGAGCTAGAGCCCATAGAGGTGGCCCTGCACCTCGTCTCAGGATGCTCCTTGATAGCAGGGTAAGGTAGCAGTCTCCCCAAGTGAGGGGCAGAACAGACCCCCATCAATTCAGACTCCCTTGCCTTCAAGCAGTCCTTTTCTCATCCCTTGCCCTCAACCAGTCAATGGAGAGCTTCCAAGAGCTCTCCTTAGGTTACACCCGGGGTTGGGGGCGGGGAGCTCATGACTACGGCATGCCTTTAACCCTTGGGAGTCCTGAGCAAGGCTCAGGATTCCCATGGACCACCACTCCCTCCCTGAAGAAGGTTCCAGCATGGCTCAGAAAAGCTGAAGGTGGAGTTCTGCGTCTTCAGACAACACAAGTGGTGGAACGAAGCTTCCCTGGGGTCCCTCTCGTTGCCTTGGGGTCCATGCTGACCGTCTGAGGAACTATGTCCAGAGCACCGAGGCGTGAAAGGCTGGAGATGCGTCTCAAGGTTGAGGCCCTGGGGGTGAGATCCCGCGAGTTTACGTGGACCAGACGACCCACGAGCTCTCAGGCCCTCTGGTCCTCTTCCGCAGCGCTTGGCTCAGGCTGCAACCGCTTCGAAGAGCCTTCTCCAGCCGCAGGTTCCCCTAGGCTCCTCTTGGACGTTGGTGTAGCTGGCTGGGACGAGGGTCCAGGATGGGAGCTCGGGGGCTGGTAGCCGGGTTGGCACGGATCCAGTGCATCCTTGGAAAGTAGGATGGCGAGGCTGGGCACATTCTTAAGTACAGTGAGACTGGCAGCCGGCTCGCCAGGCTTCTGACCGGGAGTGGGCCCCGGCGGGAGGCTCTGCCACACCTCGCGCACGCTCCGGTAGCGCAGCCGCGTGACCTGATGCAGGCCCGCCAGGCGGCGCTTGAGGATCTCAGCGCACGTGACGGTCTTGGTGGTGGCCCGACCGCAGCCGCTGAAGACGATGGCGCGCGTGGCTGGCTGCGCCATGCTGGCAGTGGCGAAAGCCAGCAGGTTCCGGATCTTGCTGCCCTCTTTGACCCGCATGTGCACAGCACCAGGCGCCAGGTCCGCGAAGGGGCTGGAGCCCGGGCCGCCCCCCTCAGCCCCACCCCCCACCGGCGCCTCCTCCGAGCGCACCTTACGGAAGTTCTCCATGCGCCGTCGTTGCCCGGACCGCGGGGACGCTGGCTTCGCCATGGGGCCGCCTCAGCCCTGGGGCTGCATGGCCGCCGGTCGCGCCGGCAAGGGCCGGCAGGGGTAAGGGTGCGGGAGCGGCGTGGACGCTGGCGGGCGGGCTGGGACGGCGCGATCTTCGTCTCCGACTTCACTCCAGCCGGCGCTGCTCTACGCCGCGCTCTCGGCGCGGGGTGCTCCGCGCCCTTTAGCGGAGGCCCCGCCTGGGAGCCTGGGAGCCCCCGCCCCTACCGTCAGGCTCCGCCCCTAACTCGGCCTGGCCCGCCCCCGTCCTAGCCTCTGCGGGCTCCGGGATCCAGTCCCGCCCGAGTCTAGCCACCGGGGCCAGGGAGCCTCGCGCTCCGAGAGGTGTAATGGCAGCCAGGGGGTGACCTGCCGGGCGAAGTTCCCCTACAGTCGCCATCTGCCCTCCCTGAGCCAACCATCATAAACGGGCGACCTAAATAAAAACTGTGTTTGCGGTGCAAAAGCTGCATCAAGCCGGGTCCCCGAGCCTTGCCCGTTGGCCGCCTCTGTCGCCTCTCAAGGAGGGTTTTCCGAGAGGCCTGCTGGCGCCTCTTTCCCCCACTCCTCAGGGAACACTCCCACTCCGTCCCTCCCGCGCCGGAGCCGCTCTTGTCGCCTCAAGGACAGCCTGTGCACGGTCAGCAGAGTGCGGAGGCGCTGGCTGCCGCTGCGCCCGGCACTGCCCTCGGACGACTACGTCGCGGCGTGGTCTTCGCAGGGCGGCGGGAGACTGAGGTCTCAGCTCGCTGCGCCTGACCGGAGGCTCCGGGACCCCCGTACGCCTGGGCTGAGGGGTGAGGCGCTGGGCCAGGCTGTCCCTGAGGCGAAAGGGAAGAGAACAAGGAGAGCCCTTCTCAAGGGGAGTTAAGCTCCCCGCACCCATGGAGCGTCCGCTATGAGAGCTGCATGCTTTAGGGTAAGCTAGGCACAGTTCCCTGGTAATGTGGATCTCCTTCTTCCCAGGTGGAACTCGTCAGCCAGCCTTGGCCCCCTGAGACTCAGTGGGGTCCTTTTTCAAAAAGGAGGTTGGATGAAGGCAGGTGTTGGGGGGAGAAGGGAGGAAGGTAGAGAAGTTGAAGCCTCAGGGGCATTAGGAAGCTACCGGGAACACCACAGGGCTGGGAGAGTAACCCCGACATCCTGCCAGGAGAGATGGACAGTGAGGGTGAGGCTGGGGGCTGAAGGGATGATGATCGGAGGGAAGTTAGAAGGAGCTGGACCCCCGCCCCCAGAATTGCTCTAGGACTTCGCCCCTCACCCTTCCATGCCCCTGGCGCAAGCGAGGGAGTGGTGCAGACCTGATCCAGGTGGGGTAGCCTAGCACCGCGGTGGCGGAGAGGCGCCGGGAGAGCTGCAGCGGGCGGGAAACCTCAAAAGTGCGAGCGGCCTGACAGTGCCTGGGGGGAGCTGAGTCCCAGCCCCGTAACGGGGCTGCCGGGTGGCCTTCTGCCTTCTCACAGCTGTTGTCGCCTCCTCGGCCTCTTGTTTGTCCTAGCTCTCGGCCTCTGCTGTTCAGAACCAGGCTGACCCCATTACCGCCCTTTGGGGGAATGGCTGGAGCTGGTGGACTTTGCGCCCCAACGTCCGAGTGACCGACTCCGTCCGGGATATCCTGGACGCACGCTAGGCTCAGGGGCCCTCGGGGTCCCGCTTGGAGCCTGGACTTCGGCTCAGCCCAGTTCCCGCGGGCCCCACTAGGATCCGCCACAGTCGCGGTGGCACAGCAGCCTTGAGAACACAAAGACTGACTGCAGCGCTTGGCGGCGGGTGCAGGGAACCTCACATTCCGTAAGACCGAGGTAGCTGTGGGACTTAAAGGGCAGCAGCAGTTTCTGCTAGGCCTGGGGAAAAGTCCTGGAACCGGTGGGATCTACGGTAGAAGGGGTTGGTTAGGGAAGAAGCGAGCTCTCCATCCGCAGGAGTATGCAAGCCCAGGCCGAACCTTACTTGGAGGGGATATAGGCCGGATCTGCAGTTTGGTGGACCGGGCCTGGGAGCTCCGGGTTTGCGTCGGGTTAGCACGCGGCTGTTCTGCGGCCGCCCAGGTTGGCCCTCGAAAGTTCCCCCTCCCCCTTCTCCCACCTCCAGCTGTAGAACACACGGATTCACTTCGCTCCCCCGGGAAGCGAGAGCGCGGAAAAGGCCCGCATTCCCTCCGGGTCCCTTCCCCTTCCCCGCTCCCTCTGCAGCACTTAAAATGTAAATGTACATCGTGATTAGCCGCGGGGTCGCTAATTACCGCTGAAGCCATTCATTACCCTGTCAGCGCGCGTCCTAGCCTGCCGGCTGTGCGCTCCAGCTGGGCGGTGGGGGGTGGGGGGGTGGGAAGGTTCAAGGAGTGGGGGAACTGTGAGTAAGGGTGAGGAGATTGGCCGGGAGGAAGCGGGGGCGGAAGAGGGGCCAGTGGGGATGAAAAAATGGGTGGGCGGTGATGTACCGGGGCGAGGCAGGAAGAGGGGAGAAATGCGCAGGCGGCTAGGATTGGGGACAGAGAAGTGGAGAGGATACGCGCGGGGGAGGGTTGGGGAGGGGAGGGGAGGGGCGAGGTTAGAGAGCAAACAGGGACTGGGAGCCGGACAAAGGGAGAATACGGGGGGAGGCGGCCAGGAACCCCGGAGAAGGGGCGAACACGGTTGGGAGGGGAGTAGAGGGCTCAACTCGGAAGGTGGGCAAGTAAATTTGCGTATGGGTGGCGCAGACCCCGCGACGGTTGGAAACATGGAAAGACAGTCAAGGCTGTTAAAGAGCTGGGTAGGGCCGGGAGTATTTTTTTTTTTTTAAAGGGGCGCGGGTGGGGGGGGGGGGGGAATCTATTTCCATATGTGTGCGTTTGTAGATGTAAATGTATTTTTAAAATATCTTTAAGAAAAGAGCACACTGCATCTGTTACCTCGTAGGCAGCATACAGTTTTTGTGAGCCCTTGAAGAAAAGAGCTACTGAATACAGAATTTAGCACAGAGCCCTGGAACAGCCTGTGTACAGGAGGTACTGACCTTGGAGCCCGAGCTTCATTACCTCCTTTTTGCCTCTATGTGGCCTTGGGCAATTTACTTAATTTCTGTGCCTTGCTTTTCTCAGCTGTGAAACGGGGCGGACATAGGAACCGGTCTCCTAAACGGGCTGTGAGACACATCGCAGTCTTAGAAACTTGGCTGGTAGATTCTCGGGAAATGTTGGCTAGTATTTTTCACATATGATTGGAGATTTAAATACATTTAAAAAAATTTTAAAGGGAGGTGAGGGGGAAAGAAAGCTGGTGAAAGGAAAGGAAAATGGGCAAAGCCTTGGCAAGAGCAGTTTTCCTGATATGTTAGGGACTACTTAGTGGCAGCTTGAAATCCTTTCACCCTCAGAGGAGGTGGTAGGGTGGCTAGACTGGAGCCCGGGCTTACCCCCTGCAGCGACAGCTCCCTGCTCTGCAAGAGGACCTTTTCCTCAGCAGTGCACCCTGCCTCTGTGGACAAGTCTCTTCTCAGCCCAAAACTGGGAGAAATCCCCAGGCACAGAGCAGGTCTCCTCCTCCTCTGTTTCCAATGGCAGGAAGAGCAAGCATGAGGACACGATCCTGAAGAAGCTGCTCCTAGTCCTAGCCCCTCTGGGCAAGGACTTGGGAGCATGCAAAGGAGTCAGGAATTAGAAATTTAGAAGGGGGCCCAAGGGAGCTCACTACAAAGTGCCCAGCATTGGGTCAGGTACTTTTTTTTTTTTAAGTCTTTTTTTTTTAATTTTTAAAGATTTAATTTTAAAGATTTATTATTATTATTATTATTATTATTTGACAGATCACAAGTAGGCAGAGTGGCAGGCAGAGAGAGAGAGGGGAAAGCAGGCTCCCCACTGAGCAGAGAGCCTCATGTGGGGCTCGATCCCAGGATCCTGGGATGATGACCTGAGCTGAAGGCAGAGGCTTTAACCCACTGAGCCACCCAGGCGTCCCTGGGTCAGGTACTCTTAACAGATATATTCCCCAATGTAATTTTCATAATCTTCCTTTTCATCATTTGGAAACTGAGGCACAGAGAGGTTAAGTAACTTGCCCAGTCATCACAGCTAGAAAGCAGTGACCACACGTGTTTGAATGCAGGTGCTCTGACTCACTTTACTACCTCACATGAGTGAGTATAAGAGAAAAGGAAACTCAAATGATCTGAGCTGCCTATTAAAGGTATAAGTTGGGGCGCCTGGGTGGCTCATTGGGTTGAGCCTCTGCCTTCGGCTCAGGTCATGATCTCAGGGTCCTGGGATCGAGCCCCACATGGGGCTCTTTGCTCAGCGGGGAGCCTGCTTCCCCTCTGCCCCTGCCTGCCTCTCTGCCTACTTGTGATCTCTGTCTGTCAAATAAATAAATAAAATCTTTAAAAAAAAAATAAAGCTCTGAGTTGACTTTGGGGAGAGCGGATGTTTCTACAATGGGGAAGATATATTGCTCATCTATTGCTGCATAAAAAATTATCCCTAGGGGCACCTGGGTGGCTCAGTGGGTTGGGCCTCTGCCTTCAGCTCAGGTCATGATCCCAGGGTCCTGGGATGGAGCCCCACATCAGGCTCTCTGCTCAGGGGGGAGCCTGCTTCCTCCTCTCTCTCTGCTTGCCTCTCTGCCTACTTGTGGTCTCTGTCTGTCAAATAAATAAATAAAATCTTAAAAAAAAAAAAGAAAAAATTATCCCCAAAACTCAGCAGATTGAAACAAAAAACAAAAACGAAAACAAAAACAAAAACTCAGCAGGTTTCTGAGGGCTACAGACCCAAGAGCAGCTTCGAAAGGTGGTTCTAGGTCAGGGTCTTTCCTGAGGGTGCAGGCAAGATGTTGGCTGGATCTGGCAGATCTGGTCCCCTGCTTACTCGCATGCTGGTCTCACATGTTGGTTTGAGGCCTCAGTTCCTTATCACACTGGATCTTCCCATAGATGTGTTCATAACCGTGGATTTCCCCAGAGCAAGTGATGAGAAAGAGAGAGACCAAAAAAACGAAAACAAAAACAAAAAAACGAGCAGGAAGCCACAGTACATTTTGTAGCCCAGGTTCTTCTGAAGAGGAGTTAGGTTCTACTTCTTGAAGGGAGCAGTGTCAAAAAATCTGTAGATATTTCAAAGCCACAGCAGAAGGGGAGTATTTGGGAGGCAAACTTAGGAGGAGAGACAATCGGGAATCAACATATTGAAGCAAATATGTGGAAAGACTTTGAATCAGGAAAGCCAAATGTATTTCCTGCTGTATGGAAAGCTCTTAATAATTTTTTTTTAAA